AGTTGTCTCAAACCAAGCACTTTAGTAACCAGTGTTTTCTTGAGGTCTCTCCTTCCTTCCTTAGGAACTTATGCGTGTGTCCTGGTGGTTTCACTTGTCCCTCTATCCCTCAGGCCTCTCCACTACCTTCATAACCATCTTTTATCCACCTGGCACCAATATTCTACCATTCTTTGAGTTTCCTTAAAGCTGAGTAATGAGCAGTGGCCTGTAGGGCAAATGTCATCTGCCAATGCATGTAAATTTGATATGCACCAGCGAAGTTTGCATGCCTTCAGATGAAGCCTGTACTCATTTGGCCACAGTCTCTACCACTCCCTATAGCCTTATACTTGCAGCATCACTTATTTACAAAACTTGCCTCACTCATGGAATCATGGGTTTGCTACCTTTGCCCTAAATAATCCACTTATATAAACTGCAGGTTTTACCAAATCTTTTGGAAAACTGCCTATAAAGGAGAGGATGTGACATCAAACACAACGCAGCAAATAGCTCCAGCGTTCCCCTTTGTCTTTCTCTAGTCGTGCCCCTGTTGGGATATTTGTATTTATGCTGCCCTTCTATTCAGTGCCCAACCCCACTGCCTTCTCTTTCCTTAGGCAGAGCAATTCATTTCTGTCCTGCCAAACTGTGTATTGTGAGAGATTCCAGTATGCAGCAAAGCAAACAGCCCTCCAGTTGGCAGGACCCATCTTCCTTAGATTGTTCAGAGCATCTTGTACATATTGATCTTGTCTTTTAAGTTTCACCACCTTGTCCCTACACCTAGCAGCTTGTCAGTGTATTTTTTCCAAACAAGTATAAGGAATTCCTATGAGGAATTTTGGTGAATACAGCCTCCTCTATTTTGTTACAAAAGAGATGGAGAAAATGGAGACCACCCACCTAGGAATATAACAAAGAGTTTGGGATATTTCAAGGAAAGATAAGAAGCAGTGGTCATGAGCTTGGGACTCACAGTACCTCTGGGAAGAGGGCGCTTCCCCACCTCTGTGGGATTCAGAGGAGGAGCTGTGAGATCAGAGGAAGAAGTTAACATGAATGATAACAGGAAAAAATGATCACCTTTCAGAAAAAACTATAGCAAAGCCAGCCAAGACTAGGTGAACTGGTAAGGAGCTTACGGTGTCCATGAGAGACCTTTATGAACACCAAAGAGAATCCTAGCAAGGGAAAGGAAGAACATAGGAACTCTGTGGTTCAGGATTCCAATAGCCAAGTGCTGCGAGCCAGTGATGGTTTCTACACCTTTGTTATTATAGCATCCCTTTCAGAGTGCAGCATGACTAGGAAAAGAAGCACCAGTTATACAGAAAAGTTGGTATGTGGTAGTTTGTCTATCTATCTCTCTACCTGTAGCTCTCTCTTTGCCCATTACATGTAGCATCTAGTTCTGCCTTTTATGATAGTGACTCGTAGACTCACTTCTTTCAGGCTTTACTATTGATCAGATGCATATAAAATAGAACAGACCTGGATTTAAATCATTTCTCCATCATTACTAGCTTTGTAGCTTTGCTAAATCAATTCACTCAGTTTGCCCATCTGTGAATTGGAGATCATGATATCCATCTCACAGAGTTATCATGATTTTAAAAAAAGTGAGATGGTGTAAATAAAGGAGTAGACCTACTATCTGGATTAGTAGATGCCAAGGAAAGCAAATTTCTTCTTTCTCCCTGCTTTTTGAAAATGAGCTGAGCCTCAAGTCCACATTCACAATGTTTTCACAGTCAAGTAGGAAGCTTGAGATGTTTAGATTTAAGGCTGTGCTCTACCTCATCTGTGAAAGTGTGACTGATTTTGACTAGTTCTTTCTTGCTGTTGTTTGAGACAGAGTCTCGCTCTGTCACCCAGGCTGGAGTGCAGTGGCGCAATCTCAGATCACTGAAACCTCCACCTCCTGGGGTTAAGCAATTTTCCTGCCTCAGCCTCCTGGTAGGTGGAATTACAGGCGCCCACTACCATGCCAAGCTGATTTTTATATTTTTAGTAGACGGGGTTTCACCATGTTGCCCAGGCAGGTCTCGAACTCCTGATCTCAGGTGATCTGTCTGCCTCGGCCTCTCAAAATGCTGGGATTACAGGCGTGAGCTACTGCACCTGGCTGATTTTGACTAGTTATTTCTACTAAAATACACAAAGTCACCAGATTATTTGAGGAGACTATTACTCACAGAAGGTTCTTAGGAGTCCAATTTCTCCCCCAAAAGAAATTAGTTTCTTGTAGATACTATCTAGAGAAACACATGTTCCACTTACTATCATTTGAAATAACAATGAAAAAATATTCATTCTATAAACTTCTTAAGCTCTACCAAAATTAGATAAGTTTTAGAACCTAAGGATACAAGGTTACATGTAGTATCATTCCATAGAGCACATTTCAAAGAGAAGCCTGCCAACTAGCACTTTTGTATGAAGATTGTAAGTAAAATCAAAGTTGAGCCTGAAATACAAATTTATTGCAGCCTTCATTGCTTGTTAACTTGAATTAATAGTGCCTGAGCAACTACAGTCAGACTTCATCTACACATGAAAAATGAAGTGGAGAATTGAGTAAATTATCTTTATATGGGCCAGGCAATTAAGGCCAAAAAGTGGTTAGTTAGCCTAGATTATCCAGATTCTGGCCTTATCGGAAGGCTACATCAGAAAGTCAGAAGAAAGCACCTTAAAAAAAAAAAAGTAAAATAATCACAGGGTTGATTGGAAAGTGCTGGGTAGCTAGCCATCAAAGTTAAGGTCTCCCAGAGAAGGATCCCACCCATGAGGAATTCATTCAGGCTTGCCCAAATAAGAGAGACTTGGGCGGTAATTAACGTCCTGCATACTTCTCAGTCCCAAAGAGAAGGCTTTCACTTAGACAAGGCACATTTTACAATAGGTCTTCTATTAAAGACAAGGTTTTAGGAGTTTTTAGAGACTTTTAAAAATAATGCCAGTTGAACCATGTTCTGGAGCAGGAATGGGCAAGGAGACCTGTGTTTCCCAAGGGAAATGACTCACGTCCCAGAATCATAAACTCAGCTCCAGCTCGCTTCCCAGGAGCCTTCACAAAAGGCTCTGCTGGTTTATGCTGGACTGGGCCTTCCTATTCTTATCCCGTTTCCAGAAGCTCTGAGTGATGGTGGCAGTGGGAGGAAAGTATTCAGTCCATCCACTTGCTGCCACGTCAATATGGAAACTCCTTGGCCCTTAAGGTTCAACTCAGTGTTGATAACAAAGCCTGGGCCCAATGAACCACAGTAAATTTTACTTTTGCCACTTCTCAGTCATATATTTTTGGGCAAATGACAAAACCATTCTGAGCTGCAGTTTCCTTACAGGTAAAATGGAATTCTAAGATCTACCTTATAAAATAATTTAGAGAATTAAATAATACTTGTTCTGTGCCAGGCACATAGGCACTCAAGTTGGTTTCTTCACTCCTTATTTTAAAGATACTTAGAGTGGTTCCAGGATAGGAGCTCAACAATCATTTGCTAAATGAAAGAAACCCAGAAAGAGAGAAAAAAGAAGGAAAAGAAAAGAAAAAAGAAAAATGGGAGCCATGAAGGGAGATAGACCATAAAGAAATGAAGCTAAATATTCTTCTCAAATAGGAACTGGGGGGCTTTGTGGCATGCAGGGCACCTCGGAGATACAGAAAGATTGCTCTCAACTCAGGTTTGGGTTGAAGTGCTTTGGGCAGAGGCCCACTGCAGGCAGCTCTGAAAGACCACTGGGCTAGGCATCCTCCTGTCACTCTCAGCTCCTCCCTTACCAACTTCCACCTCATGTGGTTCTGCAGTTGTCCATTCAAACACGTGATAACATGCTGCTGTGGATTTCATAAATTCTAAATCCCCGGGATCCATGTGCCTGGGGTAGAAGGACTATGCCACCCCCATTACCCTTGACAGGGGAATGGACAGTGATGCTGCCAGGTCTAGATACCTGTCCACTCCTGACACATTCATAGGGCTCAGCTAAACCCACCTCCTGATCCCATACGCTATTTTTCAATCTTCCCAGTTTTAACTCTCTCCCAACATACCTTGTATGGAGGAATGATCTGGGGGAATAAACTTAAATGTGAAAGTTTTTTGTTCTCATTTATTTACATATTAGCAACTGTATGCTTTCTTTCTACTCGACAAGGATGTCTCTGATCACTGCATATGGCCTCCTAAGAGGGCAAGAATGACTGTTCATATCATGAAGCTGTGTTGCTTTTAAAAGAGCAGAACTGTGCATATGGCAAGAGAAAAAAAGCACTACATTGGACTCATGACTTACAACCAAGGGAATCCCCAAGATATGTTCCCCTCACTAAATTATGTCTTTATGCCAGTCCCAACACTGTTGAAGCTCTTATCTTCAATGGCTGGTAAATGTTTAGTCCCTGGGAGTTAAAGACTCATTGGATGATAGGATTTTTTTTTTTTTTTTGAGGGACAATATCCTTTCTGCTGGGACTCTAACAAAAGTTTGTGAAATCCTTGACACCTTCTGAAAATGATTTATGTGCACTGTAGTCTTTTTTGTGTCAACACCCCGAGCAAGGCGAGGCAGTCCGTAATCACAGCCTTTGAATGTGCTGCTTCCATTAAGCCGGTTGTACAGGGGCAGGCCTAATGTCTGGCTTTTCAGAGTTTGGGGATAGATGCAGTTGTTCTGTGTTGCTTTGAGGCAGATGTTGGCAAGGTGTTTAGACATAGGAGGAACAAGGAAAAGGATAAACATTTTAAACTGCTTTCTGTAACCACCAATGTCCTTCCTCCAGCCCCCAGTTGTATGTGCAGGGACCTGCTTTTAGCCTGTAACCCAAATCTCCCAGGACTGATGTGGTGATCAGTGTGGGTTTCCAGGCTATCTGATGATTAAGAACTTCTAACTTCTAACCATGACACTGTACAGTCATCATCTAGTGTATCGAGAGACTCCAACTCTTACGCAGCTACAAACGTCCTGAGATCTCAGGGGGTCAAAGCAAACAAAGTTACAGAAAGGAAGAATGCAAAATATTCCATTTATTTTCTGGCCCACCACCAGGCGTCTGCTTCTTATTCTGCTTCCGTGTAAGTGTGTAGTGCACGGTCCAGTCCTTCATTCTATGACTGGTAGACCTGAAACCCAAGTATTAGGAAGGAATTAGAAATCACTGACCCTGCCACGGGCAGAAGCTGCAGTATCCTTCTCCTGAACTATGCTTCCACCCGTTCCTGCTGCTCAGCTCTTTCCTCAGGGAAGGTAGATGTAGCATATGGTCAGGAGCCCTAGCTCTGCCTCCTCATACAAGGATTTTCTCTTTGCAAACTATTCTATAGTTACACCAACTCCATCTGAATTGCGTGAGCAACACAGTGGCAATGCAGAATAAAATGATCTCGTCCTGGGTGAAATAACAATGCTGCTTTTGAGCCTTCCTATCTGATCCATCAGACAGAATAGACCAGGATCTCTGGTAGAAAAATGTACCACGAAGAAATACAATGAGTGTTTGTTTCAGTGTTTGGATCCATATGTCAATGGATGGAACACTCTGGAAAAGGGATGCAATATTTTTATTATCAATTACATGTACATTATTTAACTAAAAATATAAAAGAGGCCATTCAAAACACATAGCGGCATACCTTCGAGTCCTCTCCTAAAGACCTCCATATCTCAAATTGGTGATAAACCAGAGAACTATGAAAGTTTATATAGTTTTTCCCTCAATGTATCCCTGGAAATCTTCTTGAGAAGCAAATCATCATAAAGTTGCTCATATTTTCCTATAGGGACAGTGCCATTATTGGGAGTGGAGATATTGATGAAGAATCTTGACTAAAATAAATCATAAATATGGCCACCGACCTACCATAAATGCAAAGCCATAACTGCTATAAACCTCAGTGATCACTTAACATTTTAAAATTATGTTCTAAATCACAGAGGCCTATCATTTTATTACTATCAGGGACTTTAGGGATTATCTTGTCCAGTCCACAATTTGGAGATAAGAAAATCTAAATCAAAGACGATTAAGTGATTTGCTTAATTTACTTAGCAGCAGAGCCAGGAAAGGGCCATGGCTCCATCTTTCCCTCCTGCTGAGTTCTTCCTTGGCAATCCCTCACAAGTTAAACAGGTACATGCTGATAAGAAAAGGGTGAGAATACACATGTAGTAGATGGAAAAATTATTTTATCATCGTGTGACCAAATGTTAATATTTCTATTATAATAAAATATTAATTTGAGATCATTTAATATTCTTTTAGTCTCTCTCTCTTTTTTTTTTTTTTTTAATAGCTAGCTATCTTACTGGTTATAAAGTGGTGTCTCGTGGTTTCAGGTTTTCATTTTTTAGGATTACAAAGACAATCTATTGTATTTCCAAT